ATTTTTTAAGCTGTGAATTTGTGCAGCTAAATACTTGCACCATATTGTAGGCTTTATGACAAATCTATGACACCTCGTACGGTTGTGCTTTAGTAGACTGTTTGTATTATTGAAAGTTCCAAAAGGTTTGCCATCACTGAGGGTTGAGTATTCCCATTTCAAAAGGGAGGCAAAGGAAAATGGGAATGGGGTTAAAGAAAGAATAAAATTAATCAAGGCAAACATTAAGTCCTGTGGTTCCATGGCTAGCATCTGGCCAAATTGTGGAAAGATGTGAGCTCCAAGGAGTGGACAGTTCTTCTCCTATGGCTTTTCTAGTTGTGCCCCTTGGGGCCCCCCTTTGTCTTGCTCTGAAACCAACCTGTGGCTTTCCTTATATATTTCACATTTCTGGCGTCTCTTAATACTCTAGGATCCCATCCGCACCCCAGCTCTGGTCTCACTTCATGCCTTGCCCTTTACTAGCACACTGCATGGCCTCCCAGGCCTTTCTTTGAAATCTGAATGGAAACCGTAACAGCTCCCTGCAGCACACGTGCTACAGGTTCACCACCACCGAGCTAGAGCAAGAGTTATGTCATCTAAAGGCGCACATACAGTTACTCTAAGCACCACCTCTCAACAGCCATGAAGTTGGCAGTGGTGACTATAGCAGCCCCCTTGTTCTGATCACCTTCTGAAAGCCCAAAATTCTTGGACTGTGCTTGCCTACTGGCAAAACCAAGGCCAGATGGATGGTGCCAACGTCTGCTGCCAACTAGTGTTACTTTTCTCATTGCTGAGACAATTTACCCAACACTCAAAGTTAAAGGAGGAAAGGTTTATTTGGGTTTCAGTTCATAAAAGTTTCAGTCCATAATAAGCTGGTTCCCAGGCAGGATGGCACATGGCAGAGGGGCGACTATTCATGGCAGTGGAAGACAGCAATAGCAACAAGAGGGAACTAGTTCACGGCGTCCAGAGGGCATCAAAGCAAGAAGAGAAGAGAGAAAAGCCTGTTTCTACCTCTTATATTGTATCTGGTCTATTGGGATTAGGGTGGTGCCTATCTGATGAGTGGGCTGATCCAGCAATCATCCACCCCTAACTCCAGCACCCGTAATCTTAACATTTCACCATGAATCAGTCACATGCACTAGATTCAGCTACCTTTGGAAAAGCCCAATTTAAAACTGCATGAGGGGGCTGGTGAGATGGCTCAGTGGTCTAAAGCACCTACTTAGAACAAGCTTAGCTAAAGCACAGGGACCGTGGTTCGATCCCCCAGCACCATATGCCAGCCAGCCCCGCCCCCTGGTGGGCTGAGCTGGCCACACACACACACACACACACACACAATAAATAAATAAATAAACTTTAAAAAAGATAAATAAAAAAAAAAAAACTGCATGAGGATTTGGAGGAACATCTAGCTGCAAACCATAACTCAATTTGGGCAGTAGCTGGAACCCCACAGAGCATGGCCACAGTGGCCTCTCTGTACTTGGATGACTGAAGTCAGGGATTACTTCCCCAGGCAGCATAGACTCCTTGGGGATCTTTTCTCAGATCTTTCAAAGGAGTTTATCCTTACACCCTTCAGCCCTGAAGGTGGGGTTAGGCAATTTACTGATATGTCCTGGAGTCATCTTTTCTATGGTCCTGCTGAAAAATACTTATCTTCTTCTTCTTCTTCTTCTTCTTCTTCTTCTTCTTCTTCTTCTTCTTCTTCTTCTTCTTCTTCTTCTTCTTCTTCTTCTTTC